GTGCAAACAATTTTAAATGTATTTAATTCCTCTGCAGTGGATATTCAGTTTTGTTAGCACCATTTGCTAGGTCAACTACCTTTATTCTATTACATGTTTTTGTCACCTGTGTCAAAAACTAGGTGGCCCTACCTTTGACAGTTTATTTGTAGTTCTATTCCATTGCGTTGGCCTAACGATCTGGTTTTATTTCAGTGCCATGCTGTCACTGTCACTACAGTCCTGCAGGATAATTTGAGGGAAAGCAGTTCTTTACCTCCAGCTGTGTTCTTAGTTCTTAGAAAGGCTTTGGCTATTTATGGTCTCTTGTGGAACAAAGAGTCCTTAACAGTACTTTCAGAATCATTCTGTCCTTGGAGGCGATGGTCTAGAGAGGTTAGCTAATTCTTTCATTGAATGAAGTAAGTGTGTCACTAAGCATTGCGTTTAGATTTATTTATTTCTTTAGTGTGTGTGTGTGTGTGTGTGTGTGTGTGTGTGTGTGTGTATGCCTGAGTGTGTGTATTTGCACCATATGTGTATTTGGGTGTTTTTTTTGTTTGTTTCTTTTTTTAAAATTTTTTTATTTAATTTAATTTTTTTTTTTTTTTAACTTTTAAATCATATGTGTATTTGTATTGAAGTTAACAGAGGCCCAAAGAGGGCATTGGGTCTGCTGGATCTGCAGTCACAGGTGATTGCTAAATGTCCTTTGGGTGCTGGGAACCAGTCTCGGGTCCTCTGAAAAAGCAGTAAGCATTCTTAATTTCTGAGTCAGCTTTCCAGCCCTGATTTTGTTTGTTTGTTTACTGACGCAAGGTCTCATTATGTAGCCCTGGCATGTCTGGAACTCTATGCAGATTAGCCTGGCCCAGCACCAGAGGCCCTACCTCTACTTCCCCAGTGTTAAGATTCAACTAAAATATGTAAAATTTTCTCATTGAAAGTTGATTTCTCTCAGGTATGCTGTACAGAAATAGAAAGTTACCATCCCCTTCACATTCTATCTCCAGATAATAAGAATCCACAGCTGCTTTTAAAGTTGTCCTCATGCCTTGAATGCCCTTTCATATGATCTCAAGGGACACACTTATCTCTCTTTATCTGCTCAATAAACTACTTATCCTGCCGGCCTTAGTTAAAAATCGTTTCCAGGGGGCTGGAGATAGGGCTAAGTGGTTAAGAACTCTTGTTGCTTGTGTGGAGGACCAGGGTTCAGTTTCCAGCACCAACATAGTGAGTAGTTCACAACCTTCCTAACTCCAGTTCCAAGGGGTCTGATGACCTCTTCTGACCTCCATGGGCCCTAGTGGCCAAATCCACAAAAAATAAATAATCTAAAAAGAAAAGCAAATAATAAAAGTATTCTTTAGCCCTTGTCCTTCTGCGTGGTGTGTGTTTTCCTCTGCCTCGCTCACTACAATACACCTGTTAGTTGTATTTTAAGTTTCTCCTAGAGAAGCACTTGAATTTTTTTGTTTTGTTTCATTTTTGAGACAGTGTGTCACTGTGTAGATGCAGCTGGCCTGGAATTGCTCTATATAACAGGCTGGCCTTGAACTCACAGAGATCTGCTTGCCTCTGCTTCCTGAATGTGAAAATTAATGGTGAGCACCATCACATGGTTTTTTCCAGCCGCCTATTTCACAGTGCCTGGTATGTGATGGGTACCTAGCAAATACATTTTGAATAACAGTCATTGAATGTTTATTCATTCACCTTTCCTCTGTCTCCCGAAGTATTAGACTTATGCTTTTCTACAAATGGCACATAATTAGATCTCAGCGAAAATTACTATTTACCAGAAGAAACAACACTGTGATTGCCTCCAAACTCTGCCTTCTCCACTATAACCTGCACACTGATGGAAGACTATGTTTCTTAACACATCAGTTCTCCATAGCACCTCTCACACCCCCATCCATCCTGCTCACACTCTGCTGCTCCCTGCTACCTGTGGGGTGAAGACTAGCTTCCCACACCCCATCTCCTCTTCACCTGGTAGAACCTCTATTGCAATCGGGTCCCCTGATCCTCACAGATTCATTTCCCTCCTCATGTTTCAGCCTAGGCCTCCTGGCTAGAGTAAAACTTCCTTCACACTAAAATGATCATTGAGTAAGTCTTTTATTTACCTGTTGAAATGTCTTGAGACTCTGAAAGTGGAACTCTCCTCTTTCTCAGGGGCTGTTTTCTCCTGTGTTTCTTCATTGCTTTTACCATTGCTTTTTTTTTTTTGGTTTTTCGAGACAGGGTTTCTCTGTGCAGCTTTGCGCCTTTCCTGGGACTCACTTGGTAGCCCAGGCTGGCCTCGAACTCACAGAGATCTGCGTGGCTCTACCTCCCAAGTGCTGGGATTAAAGGCGTGCGCCACCACCGCCCGGCTTGCTTTTACCATTGCGTGCATTGCATTCATTCTTAAACACAGGGAGCTGATGAGCCTTGTCCACTGTGTTAACATCTGCTGCTGTGGGATGGTCTATATGTCAAATGTGTTGCTGATGGGTCAATAAATAAAACACTGATTGGCCATTGGCTAGGCAGGAAGTGTAGGCGGGACAAGGAGGAGAATAAAGCTGGGAAGTGGAAGGCTGAGTCAGAGAGACACTGCCAGCCGCCATGATGACAAACAGCACGTGAAGATGCTGGTAAGCCACGAGCCACGTGGCAAGGTATAGATTTATGGAAATGGATTAATTTAAGCTGTAAGAACAGTTAGCAAGAAGCCTGCCACGGCCATACAGTTTGTAACCAATATAAGTCTCTATGTTTACTTGGTCGGGTCTGAGCGGCTCTGGGACTGGCAGGTGAGAGAGATTTGTCCTGACTGTGGGCCAGGCAGGAAAACTCAAGCTACAATCTGCTGTGAAGCAGTGCTGGAACCAGACAGTGACTGTCAAGACTATCAGTTTAGTAAATGGAAGACTAATGCAGAAGTCAAGGCCCTACCTGACCCAGCCTCTCTTTCTTTCTTTCTTTCTTTTTCTTTCTTTCTTTCTTTCTTTCTTTCTTTCTTTCTTTCTTTCTTTCTTTCTTTCTTTCTTTCTTTCTTTCTTTCTTTCTTTCTTTCTTTCTTTCTTTCTTTCTCTTTCTTTCTTTCTTTCTTTCTCTCTTTCTTTCTCTCTCTCTCTCTCTCTCTCTCTCTCTCTCTCTCTCTCTCTCTCTCTCTCTCTCTTTCACATATATCTGATCTTCTATTCCACCTCATTACCTCCATAACTGAACCTATTCAAAGTATCCTGGTCTTTTCCTTCTGTTTAAATTGCCATTATCTTTCAAGATTTAGCTCAAAATTCAGGTTTTCTTTAATGCAACCCAAGGTAGAAGCTCTTTGTCTTATCTTAGGGTTTCTATTGCTGTGAAGAGGCACCATGACCATAGCAATTCTTATAAAGGAAAAACATTTAATTGGGATGGTGCTGTGGAATAATCCTTTTGTACACTGTGAAGATGTTTTGCTCTCATTGGTTTAATGAAGAGCCAACTGGTCAATAGCTAGGCAGAAAGAGGTTAGGTAGAGGAGCCAGACTGAGAAAACACTGAGGAAGGAGGAAGGTAGAGTTGTCAACCAGATGCAGAGGAAGCAGGAGATGAACATGCCATGCTGAGAAAAGTACCACCATGTGGCAGAACACACATAAGAGATATGGGTTAAAGCATTTGTAATTAATAATAAGTCTCTGTGTGCTTACTTGGGAGTGGGCTGGTGGGACAGAAACTCTTACCTTCAGGGTAGTTTACATTTTCAGAGGTTTAGTCCAGTATCGTCATGGTGTTACATGGTAGTATGTAGGCAGGCATGGTGCTGAAGAAGGAGCCTAGAGTCCTATAACTTAACCCACAGGCAACGTGAAGTGGACCGAGACACTGGGTATGGCTTGAGCATATTTGAGACATCAAAGCCTACCTCTGTAGTGACACACTTCCTCCAATAAGGCCATACCTACTCCAACAAAGCCATACTTCCTAATAGTGCCACTCCCTATGGGGCCATTTTCTTTCAAACCACCATACTCCTTAAGTCCATGCTATCTATTGGTTTAGTGTCTGCACATTTTTAATCTCTGGCTGGATGTCAAGCCCAAGAATCTACCTGTTTCTACCTCTCAGAATGTGGTTATAGGAACACGTTGCTGTGTCCTGCTTTGTACAAGAGTGAGGGGATCCAAACTCAAGTCTTCATACTTGCAGAGCAATACCTTGTTGTGAGATATTTTGATTTCATTCTGAAAATAAAGCTTGCTTTGAGTCAGAGGGTAGCTGACCAAAATTAGCCATAGACATTTGGAGGACTATGAACAGATAGGAGATAGGAAGTAATAAGGCAGGGTTGAGAGATGATCTCAGCCCTTTTGGAGGAAGGAATGGAAGAGGTAGGAGTTGACTGGTGGCTTCTCCTCAGCTTCTCTGATCATTCAGGTTCTTACCCCAATTTCTGACTCCCAATTTTTTTATTGATAAGGAATAATTAGTTAAGCATTTCAATATCTTATCAGCTGAGCACCACATTCATATGCTAGTAAATAATGAGCAGACCCCACTTACTTATTTAAAAAAATTACCTACCCTTTTCTTCCAGCATACCAGAGAAATTTGTTTTCAGGTATAATGTGTAATATCATGGCCCCAAAACAACATTCATAGTTAGTGTGTTGAAGTTGGTTCCAGTGATGAGTCTGATTTCTGCTTTCAGTTGTACCTAATATTTTCCTGAACATCCTATTTTTTGCAAAAAATTAAAAAAATGAATGCTTCAACTTCTAATAGTAAACTCAGCATATAGCATTATTAACTAAGTGGTTTTCAATAAAAAGAACAAAATAGTAACCCTCAATCTCTTGTATGTTAGAATTATTAGAAAACTCTCAATATATACAGTGGCTTTTAAATATTTGGATATTTTCACTCCTTTATACCTATGTTGCTGACTCTACTGTTCATTACAATATCTAGAAACATGGGTGGGTATATCAGAGCACATGATTAAATTTGTACCATGCAGATAAAGGAAACTTGCCAACCTGGGTATCCACTTGGCACAATCAGCATCTTCTACTGAAGTCATGCTATCCAAGCAGGATTCGTTTTACAATTTGGGTCCAGGATGACCTGAAGGATACTCTCACATAGCTCTAGGTACAGAATCCTGAGGGTCTGAATAGATACTTTACTCCAGGACTTTGGGAACTGAAAAATCAAATGATGAAAATCGTTAATAACCCAATGTATTGATAACATCCTAGAAAAATATCTGGTTGGGCTCAGAACTTAAAATACATATAAACTTATGGTATGGTTAAAGGGCACAGGCAAGAAGAGGCACTGACATCTCCTAGGGGAACTTTCAGACTGTGTGTAGGCTATACCCACTCCGGTATTCTGACACAATCCTTCTCATGTTGATCCCACTTGAGACTATTCACTGAGAGGCGATGATACTTTATCAGATGATAACCTGGCATGAAGGAAGGAAGACACAAATGGAAGGAGTTGGGAAGAAAAGGCTATGTTAGAGTTGGAATCTGGAATGTTCCTCAAAGGCCCAGCCACCAAAGGCTTGGCTTTGTGCTTTCATGGAAAGTGGTGAAATCTTTACAAGGTGGCATCTACTAGGAGGTTTTAGATCACTGGAAGGGTGGCCTCTAAGGGGATGATGGGACATTGATCTCTTCTCCTCCATGCACTCCTTTTGTCACATGCTGAGAAGTAATAGCCCAGTGGTCATGGACTGAACTCTCCACACTGTGCTCCGAGATCAACCTCTGCACTCTTTAAAGGAGCTCAGGAATTTCGCTCGGTGAAGGCTGATTGACATAAGCTGATGCCGAAAAAAAGGTCCAGAAATACAGTGTCACCCACAAGCAAAACACCAGAAGTTTGTGGATAGCTTCAGTCACCGTGTTCGTCATTTTTCCACACAGGGCTCGCTGTTGCCCAGGCTGTCCTCTAGTTTCTGGGATCTAGTGATCCTCCTGTCTCACTGCTCCAGTCAGACAGGGACCTTGGGTGTGTACCACTGTGCCCAGCTTGGAATGCTCTTTCACTCTGCACAGTACAGTCTCACCAACTTCTGAGCTTGGTGATACCTAGAGAAAACACAAGCTTGTAAAGTCACCACAACACGAGTGACATACGTCTCAGATGAACACCGGGCAAACTGGATTCCCAGCTGAATCTTAACTTTTGCTCATGCATAAGAAACACCCTCAGCTCTCTCAATTTGGAATGGGAAGAGTTCCAATTGTTCCCCCCTAAAAAAAAGTATTGAAAATCACAATCGTAGGCAAAATCCAGACATTTGGATCAACTGTGTTTATAGCCCTGGGAGCTCCTTCCTGTCTCTGAGACTGTCTTTGTGCCTGACATTACCTGCACAGACACCTAGCCAGCACTGGCTATTCAGTTCCCACGTAAAGCTAAAGGCTGATGAGGTTGTTTCCTTCCAGTGGGGTTCTAGCTGACATTCATTACCTCACACTACGTTTTGTTTCCTTATTTTAGTCATTATATATATATATATATATATATATATATATATATATATATATATATATATATAGTGACATAGTCCTTGACCAACTTTTGAACTTGAAGGCAAAAACTATAAACTATAAAGCATCCGTGAGAAACACTTTGCCGTAAGAATTTGGACTCTGGCTGTTTGAGATAAAGATCAGGTATGTGTACAGCTACAACACAAACAATCCCAGGAACTTAAAGAGGAGTACATTCCACGCATGTCTTTGCAGGCATACAGTAAATCTAATTATAGCACTTGAACTACTTCAGTGTCTAAAGTGTTACAGGCACAAAAACAATTGTCCTTTGAGGGTGTAAATAGAAAACATTCTGTCGTGTTCGGATGCCGACACTGTTTCAGCAGGTCTACTGAACATGTGATCGGTGCTCAGTATGTCAGGTGTGCTGCCAAGAATTTTACACAAATTCACCTGTTTCATTTGACAGTAATGAAGGCAGCAATTACTATCATTTCAGAGACAAGGAAACCTGGGCAGTGAGAGCAGGAATTTTTTGTTCTCCCGAGTAAGGGGCAGAACTGCTACAGCTTCAGCCTCACTCTCTGGGCTTCATAGTACTCTACATGTTTGGTTCCATATTAAATAGCTGCATTGGAAGAAGAAATGGCATTTCTGTTTGTGTCTGGGTGTGCGTGCCCATTCAAATGTGTACAGAGGTATGTGTGGTGCCAGAGGCCAACCTCAGGGCTGCCCTTCAGGAGCTGTCCTTATTTGTTTGCTTGTTTATTTACCTATTTATTTATTGTTCTTTGAATTAGGGTCTCTCACTGGCCTGAAACTCACCAACCAGCTAAAGCTGTCTGTCTGTCCACAGAGCCCCAGGGATCCACAGTGCTGAGATTACAGGCACATGCCACAACACCCAACTTCCCCCCCCCCCCCCCCCCCCCCATAAATCTGAGCTCTGATGATCATCTGCAGGTCCTTGGGAGGTAAGTGTTTTCAAATTGAGTTATCTCTCCAGACCAGAAATGGCATTTCTGGACACGGTATGCTGCCCCCCACAGTGAGAGTTTTCTTTTCCCTCCCTTTTCCCTTTCACAGTCTCTTCCCTTCCTCCCTTCTTCCTTTGCTGTCTGTATTTGAGCTTTCCTCTCTCTCTCTCTCTCTCTCTCTCTCTCTCTCTCTCTCTCTCTCTCTCTCTCTCTCTCTCTCTCAGACAGCCTTCGACTCCCTCAAGGAATGTAACCTCACTTTATTTGTGTTTATTACTAAAACAAAAACCTTAATAATGTTTTGTTATAAGGTTAAAGAATTAAAATCTATGAAAGTAAAACAGAGCCATGATATAGGGCACTGATTTACCCTGATCATCGAATAGGATTAATAAGAATGCCGCCCTCCCATAAACCTGTCAGTGACAGAGAATGAGCCCCTGTCCCATGGGACAATGGGACAAATAGCCTGTCGGGGCCCCAAGCAATGGAAGCATTAAACCGACAGGTGAAGAAACCAGCCAATCAGCTGGAGAGATGTCCGAAACAACACCCCAGCAAGCTGTGTGTGGTACTGTTAACAAATCATGTTTGTATGCATTTATTTTTCTTTTCAAGTATAGCACTGGCTGTCTGGGAACTCACTCTGTAGACCAGGTTGGCCTCAAACTCATAGAGACCCACCTGCCTCCCAAGTGCTGAGATTAAAGGCATGTGCCACCCTGCCTGGCAACAAATCATTTCTAAAGGTTGTGCTCATGCTTATATCTAAGAACCCCAAGGAACCGAGCAGCAGAGTGCCTCTATCCTGAAATGGTCACTTCCAGAATGTTCTTTCTTGGACTTTAAAGCCATCAACAGGTACTACAGAGATTATTAAAAGTGAAGAACGTTAGACTACACCCACTCAAGTGGTGTAAGAAGGATGAGACAGATATGAATTCTAACTCTGAGACTTGCTAAATAGAGCTCCTGCACTTCTTCCTGGTGCCCCTGGCCTTTTCTCTTCGGCACCCACCACTCATACAAAAGAAAACATCCTGGCCCATTTTTCCCGGGAGAAATGTGAAATAACAAGGCAACCAGAAAAGCTGTGCGGCCTGAATTAAAATAATCGACATTTCTCATCGAGGAAACTAAAAACAAATCTAAAGAACTATCCCAAATCAGAAAACAAAGCTTTCCTTTTCGCTCCAGAATGTTTCACTTACCTCTTCGGAAGTGAGGCTGCTTACGGAACAGTGGCGACTGTCCCCAGAGGTCACGTGTCATTTCTGAAACAGACCAGGCAGGTGCTAGCTAGTTAATGGTCTGTATTCTTCCGTCTGTGAAAACTTGTAACACATGTTAGGGAATTTGGGGGACTACGGACATCTTCACATTTCCTTCTATTGAAAAAATGGGTCAGTGTTAAAGTTATAACTAAAATCTTATTCTGATACAAGGTTGCGGGTCAATTATGAACTTCAGCATAAAAACAATTTAATATTGTTGGAAAAAAATCTTTCATGGAAAGTTTACAGTTTTTTTTAATTAAAATAATCTTGATAAAAAGCACCAGTGAGTTAGAGCTTCACAGTGTGCCCAGTTAGAAGGCTTTCCACACTGGGGCTCCTCTGACCGCCCCCCTCACCTCTGTATGACAGCACCACAGCACAAGTACTGCTCTACCTTGTTAACTCGTACAGCCCTGCTTTCCGGAACAGCACCCAGCAAACAGCAGGTGGCTGTTAGATATTTGTTTACAGAATGAATGAGTGAATGAATGAGTGGATCACCAAGCAAAGCAAACTTACTACCCCCCCGCCTTTCCTCTGAGAAATACTGAAATTTTTATAAGCAATTCTTATAAAGCACATTAATTTTATGTGTAAATTTCGTTGTCTTAGACGTTTCATTTATATTTGATCTAAAACCTGTTAGTTTACACCAAAAATAAATGTCATGTTAAAACCCATCCCTTTGTTTACTAATCTAAAAGAAAAATAGAAAAACAGCAACAACAAAACAACAACACCCTGTTTGACCAATAGCTATGGCAGAAAAATGAGAACAATCTGAATTTGTAGTGTATTGAGGAAGGACCACAGGCAGGAAAGGACATTTGTCCTCTGCCTGGCCTACAGGTACCTTCTGTGCTGGGCGTGTGTTCCTGGAAGTCCCAGATCTCAGAGCTGCTCAGAGGTAAGTGGCCAATGGAGTGGGGTGAGGCTGCCCATCAATATTGACAGAAATCTGCATTCTACTTTAGAGAGTTATTTTTTCAATTTCTTAACTTCAAGGCTTCCCTCCAGAAACGCTTGAAGCAAAAAGCAACGATCTGACCCAAGTGGTCTAAGAATCTACACATAATACTTTCACTGATTTTGATTCTATTAGTAATACAAAATTTTGTTATTACACTTTGTTTATCATTTATCCCAGTTTGTGTTGGAGATCATGTAATATCCAGTGCTCACTACTTTAGAGAATGAGAAGATACAAGGAGATGGGAACCTTAGCATTTGCTGAGGGAGAAGACATTGAACTCAGGCAGATGCTCAGGAGCAGCCAAAGGGGTGAACCAGGGCTACCTGTTGGAATAGCTGTTGGGGTTTAAGAAGGTGCCCAAGCTGATTCTCTTCCCAGCCTCATGTAATAAATCTAAGAATAAAAAAATTAAAAACAATTGTTAGAATATGCGTGCAACTGACTCAAAGTTGTAAAATGTCAGGAAGCAAACACTTTTCTCTTTGATACTTGTGAAGACATGTATTGTTTAAAAATTAAATGAAAAAGCTGAATTGCTAAGCCCAGCTGGTCATACAAGGTAGAGACCCAAGAAATAGCTGATTATTGAAACCATTCAATTTTACAGTTGGAGGAAAGAGGGGACATTTACATGGATGTTACAGGAAGTTGGGGGATATGGCCATAAGCATTCTTCTTTTAGAAATAAAGTCCATGGGTCCAGAGAACTGAAATAATCTGTTTAAGTTATGCAGAGAGATAGCAGAAAGTAGGTCATGAAATCCCCCTTTCCTTGCCAAAGTGAGGGTGAGAGGTAACAAACTCTGAAATGTGCTGCAAATGGAAGGCTGTGTGCTGCACAGTGGGGTTGTTTGGCCTGCCTGGGAGAGCATATGGCTAGCTGCATGACACCCACAGTTGATACCAGGAAGGCACAGAGGGACAGTTCAGCATAAAAACAACGAGAAATGAAGAATCCTGGGACTCTAGTAACCCAATGAAGCTGCATTTAACAGCCCGGGCCTGACAAGCAGGGTCTACTTGAAAGAAAGAGTTTTCTGTCTCCTAAAACAGGTCAGTGCTGTTTGGGGATTATTCAAGATGTATACAAGAAAGAATAATCCTAACCAATGTAAGGGTTTGCTGAAGTAGCGTCTTGTCATGGATGTCATCCCTGACACTGTGATAGGTTGCAAAGCACTGTTTCCGTCTCCTCTTGCTTGACCTGGCTTTATTGATTACCACTGAAGCCATACCACATGAAACACTGTGGATTTACTTGCGCTTATTCATTAGCTGTCTTTTCCTACTAACCAGATAGAAGCTTCAGGAAGTCAAGAACTTTGGTTTACTATTGCAAAGGTGGCATGAAATTGGCTCAAGGAAGCACACATCCACCCTTAAAGGATGTGCATCTGCCAACTGGTTGTTTAGAGCCCCATCCACAGTGACAGTCAGTTGCTAGGGAAGTTAGGGGATATGGCAGTAAGCATGGGCCAGAAATTTTATTTTTTGGTTCCTAGTTAGAGAGGGAGGCTGGCTCTTGGGAAGTTCCTAGCAGTGTTGACCATGAGCTGGCAAAGAAATAAAGGAGTGTCCTAGAAGAGGGTCTTAGGTGGGGAGGAAGGCCCTGGGGACAGTTTGCTGTGAATGAGCCTGAAGAACAGAAAGGAGGCCACCACAGTTGAAGGCACATGAATCATATGAATGAGAAGAGTGGCAGGAGTTGGGTTAGGAAAGCCACAGGAGGTCACGTCAAGGTGACCTGTAGGCTTCTTAATGGCTTTGCTTTTGCCCCCAGAGGAGATAAAATTCTAGGATGCTGAACAGAGATGCTGTGACTTTCACTGTGAAAGGAGCCTTGAATTTAGAAAGTTAGCATTTGCCAAGGCCAGCTAACAAGGAACTGAAATGGTGGCAGTTTTGACCAGAGATAGTGAGAAGAAAGTCTGGTTATATCTTCAAAGTGAGAGCAATGGGGCTTGATACTGGATTGATTTGAGGTGCGGGGCAGGGAAGAGTAAAGGATTGCTGTACTGTGTCCAGAATCTTGAAAGGATGCACCTGGCATTATGCAGGAAGAAGAGACAGCAGGAAGTGTAGGCGATGGTGAGGGAATGAGGAGCTTTGCTTTGGACACAGTGATGGTTATTCATAATTGTCAACCTGACTGGATTTAAAGCCACCTGAGAGACACCTAACTGAGCATCTTTGAAGGAATTTCCAGAAAGGTTTAATGGGAAGACCTACTCTGGATGTGGGTGACACCATTCCAGGAGCTGGGGTCCTAGAACGAACATACGAGGAAGAAGAGAAACCCTGATGAGTTCCAACCTTCATTTCTCTGCCTCAAGATCCACTGGGATGTTAAAATCAGCTGAATGCTCCTGCCATGCCTTTCTGACCACAGTGGACTCTACTTTCTAAAGTAAAGTCAAAATAAATCTTTTCTCCCCTAAGTTGCTCTCTGTCAAACATTTTGCCATAGAAATGAGATAAGTAACTAATCCTGATATGCTAAGCATGTGAGATTGTGTTTGGTTGCATGACTGCGTAGTATGTGCTAGGATCTGGGCTTGATGTTCAGTGCTAAAAGGGGAAAAAAATCAAACAAGAGGAGCTGAGAGGCTTGAACATATGTACATACTGAATATTTTCAGCCCTAAAAAGCAATAAAGTACTAATGCACAATTCATCACAGATAAGTCTTCAAAACAGTGTGCTAAGTGAAATAGCTGAAGGACACATGTCATGATTCCATTTACAGAAACCGTCTGGGACATGAAAATTAACAGAGACAAAATTAAATTTTAGGCTACATGGGAATAGTGCTAGTATGATGGTCAATCTCATAGTCAGTTGATGAGATTGGGAATCACACCTCTGGGTGTTTCTATGAGGATGGTTCCGGACAGGTTTAACATGGGAGAAAAGACCCACCTGAATTGTGAACTGCACCATCCCATGGGCTGGAGTCCTGAACTGAAGAAAAAGGAGGTAGAAAACTGAGCACCAGCACCCAACTTTCTCTGCGACCAGATGCTTCAAGCACCCGTGACCATGGATTCATGGATTCCTGACATGATGGATTACTCACCCAAACTGTCAACCAAAGCAAACCCTTCCATAAGTTGATTTGCCAGATATCTTACCACGTTAAAAAAAATAATGTAGCATACATGAGAAGTAACTACAAATCCATGTGGGGTTTCCTTTCTGGTGATAAAATGTTCTGCAATAGATCTGAAGACGAAAACTGCACAACTTTGTCAATACATGAAGAATCGTTGAATTTAAACTTTAGGAGGATAAAGTTTCTACTTTGTAAATCATAGCTCAGTAAAGCTCCTATTAAAAACATGAAAGTGATCCCATGTCTAAAGCTACTAACAAAGGTAAGAATGACAAGCTGAGGCCCCCTGAGTCTGGCAATGCTGCTCCCTTCCATGGCATGATCAGAATGGGCTCCAGGAAGCCCAGAGAAGAGGAGGTAAACCAGTAAACTTATCCAACGCTATTTGAGCAGTTCTTTAAGAAAGGACTGATTTGCAGACTTTGTGGAGTCAGAGGGAGGCTTTTTCCTTTTTGAAATACAAAAACTGAGAAACAAGGCAGCATATTTATGCCAACAGGGGTGAGTCAGGGAAGGAAGAGGAAGGGACAGGAAAGACAGAGGACACAACCATGGCCTCAGCAGACCAGAGGGGAGGGGAGCCACCCCTGCAAAGGAGGCAGGGGCAAGCACAGTTCATGTCTGTGCCAGGCACATGGCAGAAGAGAAAACTGTGAATGCCAGAAGTGGCAGTGAGGGATGGCCTGCCTCTCTTGACGCTCTCATTGAGACAGGAGTCAAGAGCATCATCCTGGTATCGGGGGTGCAGGAAAAGATGGGATGGTTTAGAGCTAAAAAGAAGAGGTGACAGAGCTGTTCACAGGGAGGGGTCATGGAGGGGTGTGACCTGAGCTCATCTGTGAGGGGATCTCAGGTGCTCTCAGCTGCTGAGGCCCACTTAGGGTAGCTGGAGGATAGTAGCTTCCTTATCCTGGCCTTGTTAAGGCTTGTCTGTGTGTTCCTATGAATGTGAGCTACCTGGGAATGTGAGCTTTTTATTTTTTGTCTCCACCACCACCTGGCTTGCTTTAAAAATTATTATCTTAATCTTCTCAGTAGAACTACAGAGGGCAAGGTTGTCTACATTTTCCCCCAAAGTGAGAGTTTTCTCCCCAGGGCAAGATGAGGAAGCTCAGGATCCATGCAGCTGTATTTGTCATTCAGGCAATAGCTAAGCTGCTTGTCTGGGAAGTTTCTGAACCCACTCTTTCAAATACTGACCCAGTAGTCACTACCCACTTTATCTGGCTGCCATTCAATTGTGATTCTAAGGTAAGTCTATTAGGGAAGTTACACGGGGAGGGGGTGTGTAATGCCACATCACTTCTCAAGGATGCCATCCTGTCCTTGAAATGCCTTCTGAGGGCACGGGTCCCACCACACTGCTGTCTCACCACACTTGTCAAGATGTATTGTTAGCATGACTGCCAAAAAAGGATGAAATGGACAAGACAAATGCTACTTACTTGTAATTCAAGCTTTCTTTGTAATGTAGGCTTTATTATAAACAAGGAAAGTTGACAGGATGCTTTGTCCTCCGTTTGCCAAACCAAAGCTAAACAGCCTGTGTCCTCAAAGCCCACTGGAAAATCAGAGCCTGGAGTCTCAAGGTCTCCTCCAAGGAGGCCTCCTCCACCACAGAGATGTACTGCCAGTAAAGGCATGAGCTTTATGTAACTTTGGGGAACGTACATTCTCAGTAGGCCTGAAGGCCTTTAATTGGCAAAAGTAAATGAACACTTCATAACATACTCATCTTAGGGAAGACACCAGCTTTGAGCTCTCTCTCCCACTTGGTAGCCCAATGATTTGAGGGAGTTCCTCAGTTCATCTGGGACTCAAATGCCTTAATGTGTTAAGAAAAAAATACCTAAGCCTCATACGGTGTTGGGGAAATTAGTGGAACAATTCATGTATCACCACTGCCTGGAATAGATTAGGCATGCAATAAATGATAAAGTAGGAACTGTTAGCTTTAATAATTCATAAAAACAATGACTGTAGAACTTGGGAAGAAATGTCATTAATCCTTTACTATCCTGATCATTTAAATTTAAATATCATCCTCTGAATTTGACAATTGATTTAATGTGCTTATGCTAAATGACAATTGTAGACTAGTTTTGCACTCATCTATGGTGAATGATGCTAACTCCAGCCTTGTGACACTGGCTAATCTAGCAAGGATACATGGACGCCTATTTCCAGTGCAAGGAGAGTTGTAACAACAGCTAGCTGCTCCATGCTGACTGCGTGGTAGGCATAATGTTTAAACATTAGGCTTTTCTTTTTCACATTTAAG